TTCTATGATTCTGTGATTCTATGTAATCTATTTCATTTCTCATTTAAGTAAGTGGATATTCCGGGAATGACTAGAATCAACTGAAAATGCTTTGTTACTCTTTATGGAAATAGGGTGGAAAATGAAGTTGGGAAAATGTAGGCATTGCAAAAATTTGTCAACTTTCTGTTCGAAAAAATTGGATGTACCAAATTCAATACATGCTTCTTTTACATTTGATTCCTATTTATTTTAATATTAATGGAAGTTCTCCTTAATTACTACTGTGACTCAGGGGAGCTGCAGTTCACTTGCTTATGACAGAATTTTTTCTCTGGCCTGGACTTTGTGACTAGGTTGTGTGTATGTCATCCCTGAGTGATCTGGGTTTTTTACCACAGTAAAATTTGGATAAAGTAGTCTGTGTGGGCTATAAAAGACCAAGAAAGCATAACTTCCTTGAAAGATAACTTTAGAAGACACAGTGAGGACCTTGGTGGCTACAGTGGAACACCAAACAAAATGGTTTGAATCAAAACTTCATCCCAAAGTTAAATGTTATTTATTATGCTACAGCTCAAACAAGATGTTTAGACATTTCCAAACCCCTTACTTATTTTTCATTTCCATTAAGAAAACTTTAGTATCTTGCTTTTCAGGCTAATTTGAGGTGCTGAGCATTTTAATATATTATGATATTAGATACATAATATCATAATTTTTAGTGGGATGAAAATCCCAGGTTTTACCAGCTGCTAATGGCCTCTGGAGAGATTCAGGTTGATGAGGTTTGTGAAGTCAAACAGCTGTAGATGAAAATATGAGAAAGAATTGACAATGATTAAATAATACAAAGGTGAAACTACAAATCTGAGACAAGCACAGAATTGTCATGGTAATTCATATGATTTTTATGTGATATTAAATACCATTAAATTGTAATACTCTTAGCAAAGTCAAAATAGGAACATATTAATCTGCAGATTTATATTTCAGACAGTAAAGAAATAAAACAACACAATATTTAGTTACATGAACAAACTTCTAAAGTTGTTTTTTTTTAATGTGAAATTGATTAACTGAAAAAAAGATAATTTATTGACTTCACCCAGCAATTTAAGGTGGATTTCACAGAAATTACACAATTTTAACCCTTCTTCTTGTGTATAAATTATCTCAGAGCAATCTATGAAATTTTGAAGTGTACCTGTAATTAAACATATTTGCTGAACAATTCTAAATCTGCAGTTTATTTGCAAAAGCTTTATATACAAATTCAATATTCAAAATTCAAGCTACTTGATTAGGTCAGTAGGCACGTAATACGTTTCTGTCTCAGAAGCTTGATTCTCCATATCAAAAATCTGATATGAATAATCCAGAATTTGCTTTTTGCAAATACTCTTCAATATCCTCAAAATTCATCAAACATTATTGTTAGTACTTCTATTCAGCAGAATAGTTACAGAAAGCAAACAATATCCAGCTCAAATTACTAAAATGACTATATAACTTTCTAGCGAAAGGAAACCTGATTGACAAATGGAATTTAACAGCATAAAAGAACAAACTATATTTACTTAGCTTTTGAAGGAAGAATGATATCAACATATCTGCAACATATGTAAATCCCTTAAATATATATGAGTAACTTATGTTGCTACTCCCACATATTTTTTCTAACAAAACTCATTGTTTATCTAAATTTTAATTATAAAATGAAAGTGTATTTACTTGTGGAGGGTGGATGTATTAGATTTATCTGAAATACTTTGATCCCTAATTTGGAAGATATATTTTTCAGCTGCTAAGCGATACACTTATATGGGAAGCTGTTTACCTAAGCTTTTTTTCCAATGCTACAGAAAATATTAACAGAACAATTAAACCATTGCTTCAATGGGAATTGCAGTGCACACAGGTAATAAATACATGGAGCTTATTCTCTTATATCTTCATTGTCTGACTTTCTTTCATTTTACTGTCAGGTTTATAGAACTACAAAAGCCATGAAAACTCAATGCTAACTTAAAAGTGCAACCTCTGTTACTTTAATAATTTTGTACTATGTATCAAGGCATTGTTTACATTAGATAATGAAATGGAGATGGGGCAGAAAACACACCTCTGAAAGATTTTCTACACAAAAGGATGAACACGTAGTTCTTTGCACAAAGCATTAGAAAATACTGTGATATTTTATTATTAAAAATGCTGCTGAAAAGTTTATACATATGTGTCCAGCCATATATATCTTCTATCATTACTTAAGGCAAAAACCAAAAAATTGCAAAACAATAACAGAAGAAACCATTAAACCCTGCGTGCCTCTTAAGGTCAAGAATATAAGCCTGGGAAAGTACTTTTGCTTTTCTTTTACAGTTTGCAAAGTATATTTTGATATCATAATTATAGAATTCTATGAAGACCCTATAAATCTGTTCCCTCTATAAATCATACATCAGTTCAGATGTATCAAATTATTAAACCAACTTGATTGTAATTAGTTTTAAAAGCTAAAATCATTCACTTACAGGAACTTTTTTTTTACCCAAATGTCACAAGCCTGACACAGTACTGTACATATTGCTAGCAGAAGACAATTGGAAGTACTAAACAAATACTGTAATTCACATTACAAACATACCCAACTGATTATGATGCCAAGCATCATTCCCTTTTTTTATTTTTTTTTATTTTTTTCTTTTTTTTTTCTTTTTTATTTACCTTTTTTTAAAGAGTTATGAACTGCTGTATCTCAGCTGAGGCATTACATAGGTGGTGGAAATGGCCTGGTATAGAGTCAGCATTAATCAACATTATGTGATGGGTCAGTGAGAAAAAAAGTTTTCCATTTGCTATTAGTTATACATTTGGGTTGTTGCTTTATCACATTCCAACCTGAGCAGCCAGGTCAGGATTATAGCACATTTATTACAGATAAAGGATTATATCAACCACATGTTGCATTTTTATCACGTCATTAACTTTCTTTTTATTTCTTTCCTTCAAAATCTGTTTTACTGCCTGCTACAACAAGATGTTGTGCAGATTAATAGAACTCAGCGAATCACCTTGTCTTTGATTTTATTGTAGGGGTGACTATTCCAAGACATTTTATTAGAAAACAAAAAGCATAGAAAACAAGAAGTACAAGGCATCTTGTGTTAGATATTTATGGGACATATGATATTAATGCAGCTTTGTTGTGAATTAGTAATAGAAAATACATCTGGGATAATCATGTTCAAGTGCAGACCAATTTGTTCAAATATCTTTGGTTACTATCTCTCAGTGATGGAGTAACTTTCAAAGACAAAATATAAAGCAATCTTCATCTGCGAGAACTTATTTCTAGCTTTTCACATTCAAATCAGTAGTTTGAATCAAATTGCCAAGTTCCTTTGTTTGATAGCTCTGCTTGGCCTCTGGTTTCCTAGTGAAGGAAGGGCAGAAGTAAATAATCAGCTAAGAATTTTATCCTTCCTGAGAGTAATGCTCTCTGGGATTTTCAGTTTTATTCAGATGCAGAACAGCTGACAACATTTCTGCTTCTCTCTCCATAATGTTCACTGACTATGGGAATGCTGTGCAACAAATCGGCAAAAAAAGTTTTTTCTGACAGGTACACTCTCAAGCACAATACAGGATACTGGGCAGAGAAGTTCTTCACGCACTGTTCATTTCTGAACACTTTAAAAGACAGCCAGTCAACCAACCCACCATTTTCCCACTTTCAAATTGTGGTTTTATTTCATCTGGCAAAGCTAAGAAGGTGCTTTCTCAGCTAAGATTCCACTGCTGGTGAATATAGAGCTAGTTTTTCTCATAAAAGGATGACCAAAACACAGGCTTTCTCTGCTTTTGTCAGGGCACTAAACTCTTCCTAATGTATCACAATAACCAAGAACTACACACTGGACTCTGAATGTAAAGTATCAGATGGTTCTTGGTTGAGTTCAACAAGCTTATAATAGTAATTATTTTCTTCTTTGTTTGTTTGTTTGTTTGTTTTCTCCATTTTCCAATCCATTGCTGTGTTGCAATTTAACAAAGGCTAACACAAAATCAAATTATAGGAAAAAAAGTTTCAGAAAAGAACAACAATCTCCTATGAATACTTTAACATGCATTAGTGTAACCTGTAAGAGAAAATATGCAGGTCACACAGACAACTGTATCCTCTGCATGACACCATGGCCTCATATAAATGAAACATGTTAGAAAAAACTCCCGCTTTTTGTTTACCACTAATAATTAAGAAGAAATTCCTCCTTTGGGCTTGGAGGAAACAGAGGTGATATGACTAATGTATATACACATAGGTCACAACTGAATGCACAATCTTTCTAAAAGCTCTTTTCAAACTGAAAACATCAATAAAAGCTTTTTTTTGTTGTTTTTAAACTCACAGCTATGTACATTTTTACAAAGTTTCTTTAAATATAGTTCAGGCTGGCAAGTCATCTCTTTGCGCAGAACTATACGGATATTACTGCATAGTCAGTCCTCCTCTTTTTTTTCATTTTTGTTTTTAATAATAAAATTCTATTTCCCCCATCTGGATTACAGCTTCATATGCTGGGTAAAAGCCCATGGTGATGTCTTTGTTTTAGCAAGGGCCGTTCATGGTATGGCACATAAAGAATTTTTTTTTTAATTATTTATTAAAAAAACCAAAACAAAACACCTGTACAGTCACTGCCTCTGTGTTCCAGAAGACTCTGCTTTGCTTGTTACACTCAAAACACCATTTTAAGTGACTTCTTCTGGCCTCAACTTTCAATCAAAGTGACTGAGATCTTAAAGCAGTATTGTAACAGCAATGTACACTTTTCACATTTCACAGGGTTTGTAGTTGATCTTTAACACCAGAGAGTTTCTGTGGGAAGGATCATTAAGAAAATAATGACTGTCCTTCTCTTTAACTTGTTTTTATTTTAGATTTTGACAAGGTGTTCAATGGATGGTACTATAACTTTTTCCTCTTCTTGGTTTTTTTTTCCTTTTTTTTTTTTTTCTTTCTTTCTTCCAAGTGGCTTGTGAGGGTTGAGGGGGAAGGGCTGAGCTATACTCTAGTGGTCGAATGTCCATGAGGCAAATTTGTACTGTTTTGTCCTCCACTGAAGGTGTTGAAAGTATGCAAAGGCTGCATTCCTGTTAGTGTATTTGGAATCATGGTTATGGTGTTGGGTGTCATTAGTGGGATGTCATCTGGGGATCTTCTCAAAGTAAGCGTGTAGTCAGGCGGACAGGTTAGTCTCAGTGTGTCATGGGCCTGCAGAGATTCACACTCATGGTCATGTTCTAGCTGTTTCATCTGCAATGACATAATCTCTTCATTTTGTATGTGTGCAATATCGTTGGTTGTGTTCCGCTGGGGGCTAGGGCGTCTGTGAGTCTCATGACGCCTCTTGTCCTTCTTGTAATATAACGCAGCAAAAGCTAAGATATTGAGGAACAGCAAAGATGCCCCCACGGCAATAGTGACACTCAGCTCCGTGGAGTAATCTCGTTTGTTTTCTATCAGAACTGTCGTATCCTCTGGAGCTGTTTTATGGGTGTCTTTTGAATGTTTGGGATTGTTGGCAGGTGTCATTGCTGGGCGTTTGGTGGCTGGCCATAATTTACCAGGAGAACGTCGTGTCACGTAAGGAAATGATGTCATGTCAGGAGGGGGTACTTTAGTCGTTGTGGAAACGTATTGAAATATTTCATTCAGGTTGTGAAGATGAGGTACGAGCTCTAACCAGAAAGCAACTTTTGTTGCTCGGTAGTGATCACGAACTCGGGGTTTCAGGCCGATATGAAGATAAAGCTGGTCTTTAGGATTGTATTTGGACCAGGCCACTTCTTCAAATCGATTGGGTTTTGTGTGGATGAACTTTGTGTCCTGTGGAACAGGCTGGTTTGGATCTCTACAAAAATAAAAACAGGCAATATTATAGTCATTCAAAAAAATAAAACTAAACCAAAAACCGACAACCCTTCCATTCTTAGTTAATGGTTTATCTGATAATTAACATAACCTGAAAATATAAGCTAAAATAAACCTCCCTAAATTAAGAACAGATGTTAATAAATAAACAAAAGAAAAATTACTTACTGTACAGTGCATCTCAGACAATATAATACTCTTTTCACATGAAAACAAGAGAAACGGTTGTGTGTCAGCTCCCAAAAGCTTATGTGAAGTTTCAGTATGATTCAGCATCTTACTCCAAAGTCTTAGAGAAGTACTAACTAACTTTCCCCAAAGTAAAAGTGTAGATTCAGCTCATCTTAAGGTTTGACATTAAATTTCTCATTGAAGGTACCACTACTTTCACTACTATAAGTAGTAAATAAGGGTATCTAATCCCTATGGCAATGTTGAAAGTCCATGTGACTATAAGAATTTATACTAGCTGTGCATATTACATAAAAATCTTCAAAACATGAAGTAGCAGGGCTAACACATGTAACTGGGAACTATTTTTTTTGTGTTCCTTTACTGAGCTATACTAGTCCCCCTTTGCACAAATATCGACTTTAGGGAAAATCTTTGAAGTATTTGTATGTCGCAAATCTTTCCATCACTTGCATTACCAAATTACTATTTGAAAGTTCCATGTGCTTATTCCTATTAAATAACTACATTCAATGGCCATAAGACAGTGAGCCTTAATTCTGTCCCACTTTGTAGGAATGAGCAGTACATTATTACAAACAATAAGTTTTATAGAAGTTAAGTAGCAAGAGAGAAAAAAGCACAGTACTTTGAAACTATTTCAACACTGGTAACTCAAATTTTTAATTGAAATTACGTTTTTTTCATCTTTTATTTTTTGTTTTCTTCTTATAGGTTCATATTAAAGACAAACTAATTGCACAAAAGCATTTAAATGTGATTAATGACATGTATCATTATAATTTTTGCAAACTTTACATAAATATGAATTTATTTTGGCATGAAGAAATATAGAAATTTAAAATTACTAATATTGAGTTCAATATTCTGTTGCTCTTGAGTGTGAATCTTCTTTTGCAGCAAAGAATATTTTCTGGGACTTTGTGATATATTATTCTGAGAGTACATTATTAACTTTCTGTGCATTGTTCTGAGAACTTCCCATTCTCCTTTCCATTCTCAAATGCATTAATTTCCTCTGAAAATTATTATAATACTTTCCTTTTCTTCCAATACACTGTTACGTAAGTTATGGGACTACCAAGACCAAGCGCTGCAGATTTTAAAGCATCTTATTTTTCATCTTTTTTCATTTTCAAAAGCTCATAAACATGATTGCCTAGTTTAATAGTAATGTTTAATAATTATTATTTAATAATAAAGAGCTATTCCTTAGGTCTTACACCAGATTGGTAATTTTACTTTAATAATCTTATAGATTCCTGTATTTATCTGTTTACCAGAAAGGATTTATCTTACCTTTTCTTGAGTGAAAAGAATAATTACTTTTCTACATGATTTTGGTACTTTGATTTACTTGTGCTTGTGGTTTTAGGTGTTTGGGGTTTTTTGGGTGGTTTGTTGTTTGTTTGTGGATTTTTTAATTATTGAACTGTATCAAACTTTTCCCATATCAATAAGATATAAACTAGGGGGTTCTGAAACTGTGACTATTTAATTTATTTATATATGTATCTACCTATCTATTTATTTTTCCTTTTTATATAGCAATAGTTAGCCAAATTGTGTTAATTCTGGAGAAAAAGAAAGTTGTTTAGTAATTGTTCATCCTAGTTGAAGCTGGAGGAGTAATACCCACTTCTAAGCAGTACAGCAGTAGATGTATACTGCTACTTTGAGGGATACTAACGCGCATTTAAGAAGGAAATAAAAGTATTTCTTTTGTTCTTAAAGACGAGAAATATTTGGCAAATCCAGAGAAGGAGATACTGGCCCAATTCAATATATTTACTTGTGCTGGTTTTGGCTGGGATACACTAATTTTCTTCACAGTAGCTAGTATGAGGCTATGTTTTCATTACTGAGGAATAGTGCTTACACAGTCAAGGGCTCTTCTGCTTCTCACACCACCTGTCCTCAAAGCTGGAGGTGCACAGGGAGTTGGGAGGAACACAACTAGGACAGCTGACCTCAACTGACCAAAGGGATATCCCATACCATATGACATCATGCTCAACATATAAAACTGGGGGAAGGAGAAGGTACAGGGGGATGTTTGGAGTGATGACACTTGTCTTTCCAAGTAACTGTTACACGTGATGGAGTCCTGCTTTCCTGGAGGTTGCTGAACACCTGCGTGCTGATAGGAAGTGGTGATTGAATTCCTTGTTTTGTTTTGCTTGCAAGTGTGTCTTTTGCTTTAACTGTCTTTATCTCAACCCACGAGTTTTCTTGTTCTTACTTTTCTGATTCTCTCCCCCATCTCGCTGTGGAGGGAGTGAGCGAGTGCTGGGTAGGGCTCAGTTGCTGGCTAGGGTTAAACCACAACACTACTACTACTACAGTATTTCAGGCTTCAACACATAAATTCTAAAGCAAATTAAAAATCAGCAAGATTATCAAACTGCAAAGCATTTTTCTTGTCAGAAACTGAAAATCCTTCAAGAGTTACAGCACAAAATTCATCTTGTGTTCTCTCCACTTGCAGTTCTGATTCACAGCACAAAAGACTCTGGGAAAGGTCCTACAGAAAATGTATAATTAAGCTAGCTCACATAAACTCGTTGTAATTGGTACACAGTACAGGAGATGAAGAAGTTAAGCTCATTTCAGTGAGCCAAGCTGGACATACACGTCTTAAATTTTTTTTAATGGCACTATAAAAATGATAGCAGATGATGATTTTATCAACTAAACATTTTTTTTTAATTAGCATTCTCTTCCCCTACAAACAGTCTACAAAACAAATGAATATCATTCTGCCTTTCCTTTATCTCTCTACCTCCATCTCTCCTTTATAACTATAGGTATTAGGAACAGCTAGTTATGCTGCTGTCTCCTCCAAACAAAAGAGAAAATATTACATTATATAAGGACTTGTTTACATGGCTGTGTGTGGGCATGAAGCTTTCCATTGAAACAAGGAACAGGAAAAACATCAGCCAATGCTACAGACAAGTCATTTTTTTGCTGAGGGCGTCAGAACTCTACCACAGATGTCGACTCTAGGGTTGATCACTTAATAACTCTTTAAATGGTCTGAATATCCTCTCTGAATTTGGAAGATAGGTATTTAAATGCTTTTTTTTTTTCCACAATAAAATGGGATAACTAAGTCCTGTTCTAAATAGAGGGTCTAATAATGCATGGATCTTGGTTTTACAGACTAATGATAATATAGCAAAAAATATTCAGTGGATAAAAATAAGATTTCTCTCTTTTTTGGCCTTCCTCTTATGTACACTGGAGACAATTAATAAAATCATCATGAAACACCTGAACTTGTCCTCCATATGATTATGATAGTCTTTTTTCTATTTTCTAAGATATTTTTAATTAATGTGCAGAATCATCTGATGTCACTGTCACTTTTTTTTCTCCATTTTCAGTCTGCGCTGATTTTGCTCAGTTTAACATCTTACTGTTTATTGTCATTTAATTCACACCTCACAGCCTACAAATATACATTAAAAGCACTGAATTTTTTCTCAGGTGATATAAAGTAAATGTGCCTGCAATGGATGCTTACTGAAAAGGAACACACATTCCTGTCCATAAGGTGACTTAGTAGCTGATCTGGAAAGCAAATAAAGGGAAATGAGTTTTTCATATCAGGTGATAATTGGCATGGGAAGAATGATGGGGAATCTTAAGAAGTTTTCTCTTATCCTAAATTCCATATAATATGTTGAATATGAATATGAATATGTCATTCATCTTTTAACTACTTCTGCAACAGCATTAACTATCACTCAGAACAATGAAACTGTTATGTTAATGCACTTAAAGTGTTTTATTCTTTTGTGTTGTTCTCTAACTTCATTGGAAAGCAACATGTCTCAACAATTACATACTGAGACTGTCTCCAAGACACTGAAATGCCCCTTGATCATTTATTTTTTTTCACCATTCCCCTTTTGTCCATAAGGGAAAAAAAAAAGAGAGAAAAACTGTGCAGTGTTCTTCATGCTTCCACAATTTTTCATGTTGTCACAATACTAATATTGGTACAGCCATTCCTTCCTGAAGCACTGGTACTTAAGCATATTTTCCCTTACCTTATTTCCTTTCTTATCACCAGGTCCCACTGTTGCCATGCTCCCAGACGACTATTATAACTACTAAGGAAAGCAAAACTTTCCAAAGCAAAAGCAAAAAGTACACTGTTTTGTTTGACTAAGACAGACTGTCCACTGGTGACAGTTATTTCTTCAGACAAAAACATCAAAAAGAAATGTAACAGCCTCATAAAGGAGGTTTCAGGTTCACAGAGAATTGATGTGATTTTAATTACATTTTAATTATTGTCAGTTTAATTGTGTCTTCCACTGGAAAGCCAAACTGAATATTAAACATAGATATCCTTAATAACTCAGTTAGGTTTTTGCTTTAGAATCAATGGTAGTAAAATAATTCAGGAGTATTTAGCTGAATTACAAAGAAAACAAGGATATCTCCTTTAGGCTTTTATCTATCTCATCACCAACCTAGGTAGAGCTGGATGAATGGGAGCAAAAATAGAGTATTGTAACTCCTCAAAAGCAGATAATTTTTAGAAACCTGAAAGATAGGCTCTAATGAGAGCATGGCTTTGTGTCTACTGTATGAAACTTCAAATCCTTCTTCATAAGAATGTAGCTGGCAGAGTATCTGTGAAGGACTAGCACACATTCCCTCATGTTGTTCACCTTCCCCTTGTTGATGTATCTGTGAAGAATGTAACATGGCCTTAACTAACAGAACATTTATGCATGTAAAATTACCATTAGAGTTAGGATAGTACTAGTGGCAGTGAACTGAAGCTTTAAGTGCACCTCTTAATTAAGCTTTCACATATGATTTTGCACATAGTGGATTCAAAAGCTGTACTTTCATGTCATTTTTGTATCTCAAATATAGTTTCTTATGCCTACTCTATAACAAATTGTTTTCCTATTTCTAAGGCTTGTTAGAAATATTGTTTTGAAAAGGCCAAAATGACTGCTAATGTAAAAAAAAAGAAGTCATAGCAAGGTAGAAAATGGAGGATTAGAAAAATACAGCTTCTGGGTATTCATTTCAAGAATGATCCATTTGCAATTAAACTCTAATTATCTCCTATTTGCTAATATCAGTAACTGAATTCAAAGCAAAACACAATAAAAGCACTGTGTCTTGTTCTGTATCTTTGACATCTAGTGATTTTACAGGATTGACCTGCCCTCCAAATCCAGCTTCGGCAGTAGACCCATTAAACAATGACTTTTTTTTTTATCAGCATGTGGCATGTCTGTTAAAAGTCCAGCACAGTCCATCAGAATGATGCATCATCTGAGCTATAATTACACAATAGATACCTGAATGCAGCCTCTGTGGAAGAGATTGGAGAAGTCTCAAAGGCATTAAAAATAAAAAAAATAAATGTGCAGTTTTAATATTCAAGGGTCACCTTGGATACAAGGGATACATGGAATAACAAAACCTCTCGGTTAACAGATTTTTCGTACGTGTTGCCATGGATACAAATACAAAATACGTCAAATTCTATTGGAATAAGGATGGGAAACAATTAATTAAAAGAAGGTGGAAAAAACTCCAAAACAAAGCCCCCAACAAGGCCGACTTGAGCCATATCAATCTTTTTGAGAGTTGGAGGACCTGAGTTGTCACATGGATTCCAGATTGCATGTGGGAGGGTATAGAGAAGAACAGTTATGCCAGATATGTCCCTTGTTGCTCTAGGCTTAGGGTGCTACAACCTTCTTTTTTCCATTGGAGGCATCAGAAGAGCAGAGCAAATGTAATCTTAAGACATTATTTTCCTCCAAGTATTCTCTTGTACTATCCAGAACAATTAAACATTGTTGATATAAACAAAGAAAAAAACAAGTAAGGTAATATGTCTTGTGTTGCTCTTCTCCTATCTTTGTGAAAACTGAAATTTTCCAGCTAGGGGTCATTTTTAATTACACAACTTTCAGACTCTCTATAAAGAAGCAAGTTTGTAATAGAAGATATACCCTATTCCTGTCTCATCAGCAAAGATGAAGTTTCAGAAATTACTAATGGTTCTCCCAAGGCACCTGTTGTGCCTTTAAGTGTAGTACCACAGTGGATTCATAACCAAAGAACTGGGTGATGGCATGTATAGCCTGCTGAAATTGGTTTTCAAGTAGCAACAGCTGGAAAGTGCTTGCAATTACAAGTAATGGCTGCAGCTGGAACTGTAAGAAGCTCATGTCAGCCTAAAAAATTGCTTAAATATTACTTCTTATTCTACAGGGAATAGTCATAAAGAAATTGCAAATAATAGACTGTGGATATCCTGCATTTCCATAATAATTCTAATGATGTATATTTGTGAGGATCTGAAGTCCTCTAGGTATATGTGTCACTTCAACTACAAAAATAAAGACAAACTGATGGTATAATCATCTTTCTGAGTGTGTAAGCAGCATTCTCTGTCCATAAAGCTTTCATCTTAAACTTTGCCCATCTCAGTATTGATGACTTCTTGTTGCCAAATATATCTAAATATTCTACAGCTCATTTGCTATTGTTGCAGTACTGTGGGATTTTTGCACACAAAAGTACCTGTTTGTCTAAAATGCAGAGCAACGAAAACTTTCATTCTGTCTTGTGAATTGACTTGAAGCATTTGATTGTTTTTTACTCTATTCATGCTTGAGCTTTTTGTTAAGACTGCAAAATCTCTCTCCCCTGAATGTAATTTGGATTCATTAAAGGCTGCAAGAGCTACTGAAGCCTCTGAGTTTTTCACACTAGGCATCTCTGAATTTTTCTTATATAGTTGCATATCATTCACTGCAGTGCAGTAAAGCTGCCATTTCCAGAGCCCAATCCTGCCTTTAAACATTCATTGGAAAGATTTACAGCCCTTTTGTGCCACAAGTATCTTTGTTTCAATACAGTACTGAAGACTCAAGGTTAACAAAAAAGCCCCTGCTGCTCAAGTGAAACACTGCAATACTCTTTAAAGGAATGCTATAGAAAGAGGACAGAGATTATTAATAGCACTCACAGATTAAACTGCTTTGAGGGTTTTTTCCTTGATGTTTACAACTCTATTTCAGCAAAACCTTGATGTCTCTATTTTGTTTAATTAATTTAAATTTTTTAACCTTCTCAAAGCAAAATTTATATCTGAGTCTCTCCTTCATTCCAGCCAAGTATTATTGCTCTTATAGCCCTCAGAGGAAAAAATCATTCCAGTGTCTGCCTTACTGTTCCAATTTCTCCCTGAATCCCCATCCCTGTGAAGGTCGCTAAAAACAAGAACTTCCTTTCTTTTGTAGCAGCTAAGTGCTATCTGCCTGGCAGTTCCTTTTCCAAGTAGCAGACATGTTGCCTCTGATTTTTCAGTATCTTAGTGAGCTGCCTTTTCTCTGAGACGTGCTTTTGTCTAATAATTGCCCTATTTTTTGAATAAAAAATACAGTTCATTATTATTCTCACTGAGCTACTGAAACAAAATAGTTTGAGGGAACAAACTAATTAAAAATCTATTACATATGAATAAGCCCCAGTTACCTTCTGTTTTACGCAAATGGTGCTGTAATACTACTGCAAGATCAGGGTTTGAAGCCACTGCACTGGGATACTGGCTATTTTTGAAGTATGCTATCAACAGAAAGGAATGTTAGGGGTCAAACTTACCCAGTTTTGGCAAAGTTAGTCCAGTATGTCATAACTACTGCACTGAGCATTACATCATTCTTGGAGAAGTTGCAGTTGAACAGTTCTGTGGGGCCGATCATAGGAATCCCAAATACATAAGGGACTTCATCACCATGAGCTGAATCAGCCCAGCTGGGTTTCATTTCACTTTGGCAATGATGATAAAATGCATAGAAATATGTTGGAGATCCATACTGGGCATGCAGGTCAGCAGTAGCAACAGCCGGAGCAACCCACTGGTGGTCTGTGAAAAGAGCAACCAAGGTCTTCCGTCTTGTTTCGGGGTTTTCCTTGTCTGCCCAGTCAGTGTACATGAATTTAATGGTCTCTCGCAGTGTATCTTTCCCTTCTGGATAACCATACAGATTGTCCACAAAATTTGAGACAGAAAAGTCAAAATCATTTGGGGAAACACCATCTTCATTGTCTACAATGCCGTCCACAAATTTTAAACCTTCTCCTTGATTCACACCCAGCATTATATCATAGTTAAGGAATTCGCCTTGCTCCATGAGAATCTGGGGGTCATCTGGAATCACGTCTCCATCTATCACTGGCCCAAAGGCAATGTGGTACGTGGCTGGAGTGATGGTCTGTTGAATGAGTTCTTTGTAATTCTTATTCCGAAGACATTCAACCAAATCAGTGGTATCCAGCATGTCACAGCCCACTTTATCTGCCAATATCCGAGTGTACTTGGCAGGCTGGTAGTTCACTGCCCAGCTGGACAGGGCTGTTCCACTCTGTATGATTGCCTTTTGAAACAAACCTGCAGGTGCAAATTGTTTAAATGCAAATCCAATTATACATTGAAAATAAAATAAAATAAAATTTTTTAAAAACCCCAACAATTAAAAGCAACTTTCACTAAGCAAAGAAAGCTTTGATTATACAATAACTAAAGAAAGTATATACCTAAATTTCAATTCAGTTTCCATATGTTCCACTCACTGCTTCCTTTTTATAGCATCTCTAATAGGCTACTAATTAAAATCTCTCTTCTTCTTGATGCTTACACACGTAAAGAATGAAGGTTTCAGTTTACTATTTCACAAATAAAACTCATACTTGTACTGCAGTTTTCCTGGATCTTTAATGGAAGTCCCCTGTCTTTAGCACAGTGGTAGTCCTGTAAAAATTTCTCTAAAGGAGTGGCAGCTACAAGCAATCATATCCTCTTCACCATGTAAATGACTCTCATAAATGCACTCTTCAGTAGTTTAAAGGTCAGATGAAAATTACACACTCTCATTTCTTTCACAGAAGACATGCATTGTATAATTTTAAAAAACCTGCTCTGCTAAAATGAATTTAATAGGCTTGAGTCTCCTACTCTGAAATTATTTTTTCTTTAGCAACTTAATTTTTTAATTATTATTATTTTTGTCTGTGTGTTAGCCCTGCCTATATTAAAATATATTTACGTTTTTCAGAAAAGAGTAAGATGAGATTCAGCAGTTCTTTCTGGTTGTTTTATGTGTACTAATATAAAGAGAAATGAAAGACCGAGTCTGAAGAGCTTCTTTGTGTTAGAGCACTGAAAAGCAATTGGAGTTCACTGGTGAATCTGACCCATCTGTTTTTTCCTAGTAAGATCACTAAAATGGCCTATTTTATACTTAAACTAAAATGCCTGGGCCTCCTCTGCACATGGTTTCTACTATCAAGCTCTTGAAATGTCAAAGACAGCAACCGCTACAGAAACATTTAAAAACTTTGAAGCATTTATGGGAAAAGCTGGCTGTGGTTGATACAACTTTGTGATGATTATTTACTGCACATACTACAAAATTTTAGTGATATATGCTTGGTTTTGGCACAGTGTACTCAACAGTTATTCACTGCACTATATTTGTATCAATAGACTGAACAGACAGGCATAATTCTATGCATTTCCAGACAGAGTGTGCATACCAGGTACCCTACTACAACTGCTTGCTAAAGCTTAGCACTCTGTCATGGATTTCTGTCTGTTTTAATGTGATAGCATGGACTTATAAATACAATAGATATTTTGGTCTTATCTTCTTTTGTGGATTGGGTCTTCTCACAAAGAATATTTATGGTACTGGTGCTGTATATTCTTGTGGGTTTTGTTTGGGGTTTTTTGGGAGGGTTTTTTGGGAGGGTTTTTTTTGGGGGGGGGAGGGGGAAGATTGAAGGTAGAAATCTTACATCTCAAATACTTACCAAAACCTTAAGAACTCTGTACAAGATCACACAGTACTTTTGGGAAAATAACTACATTTTTAAATAAGGTTATGTTATTATTAAGTAAGGAAAGCATCTAAATACATGTCAGAAGTGTAGACAAGAGTGTGTAAAAAATTAAAAAGATCACTGCCCTTTTCTATTTTGATTAGGGCAAATACTTTGATTGAAGGGCCAGTGGAGACTGTTGATAAAGCTAGAAGTATATTGCCCATGGCATTTGTTACATGAAATTTCTGCTATAAGAGCATCTAATTTTTCATATTAAAATATTTTTGTTGAATAAATCAAATCCATAATACTAGCTAGTAAGTATTTTACAAAAATTACAGACCTCAGGTAATTCTAATTCAGCCTACCTGATATGGCCATTTTTGTTACACTATAATGTTTTAAAAAAAATATTCTTTTCTCAGAAGATTGTTACCTTCTGAATAGTGAGAGAGTGTCAGGAGACTGACACAGGAAGCTCCTGCCCCAGATCCAAAAATAGTAACTCTTTTTGGGTCTCCTCCGAAAGATCCAATATTTTCTTCAATCCAACGTAGAGCTTGGATTTGGTCAAGCAATCCATAATTGCCTTTTGCAGCTTGGTCACCAGTACTTAAAAAACCTATAAGGCAAAAAAAGATAATTTTAGTTCACCAGATACATAGTTAGCTACAGGGTGTCCACGTATTTATAACACATCTTCCCATCTTTTCATCTTCTGGGCTTTTTTTTTCCTCCTTCTTCTTTTAAAGGTCATGGACCTAGTTAAATGTCTCCAGTGCAGGCAGTGGAACTTATTCTGTATGCTATTTGCCTTTGGTTTGTTTTTCCCTTACTGCAGAGGTCATGTTTGTGAAAAATCATTATTTTATTTTTTGAAATAATTCTGTGTCAATGCAACAATACACACTGAAGACTTTAAACATTCGATAACTGTATACGAGTAAGGTACAAAAACTCAGGAAATAATTTTGGTGTGAAGAAGTGAGATACCCAGTCTTCCACTGAGAACAAGGCTACCTAGTAGATTAATTTAAATGCTTCTTACCATGGACCAGAATTGTCCTGAACTACATAGTTCTTAAAATTATTGTCATTGTGACATGGATAGACATACTTAGAAATAGAAAAAAAAGAATGAAGTAAGTATTAAAAGGAACAGGAATAAGCCTAGGAAAAAATTACACTCCAGTTTCACAGAGGTTATTTATTAGGAAGATAGCAGGGAAATCCTTGGCAATTCCACCTTTGGTAGGGAGATTTTATCTGAACAAATCAGGTTTTGTCTCTTTCCTTGGAAACTGCAGGGAAAGCTGCATTGCTATTTTTTGTTCCTGTACTGCGGTTATCAGATTTTAGAAACAAAGCATGGCACGTTTGCTGCTTGTCTTGCAACTGAGAACAAGACTGAAAGACTAGGACTGAGATTAATTTTGTTTTTCTGAAACCAGCTAAGGTGAAACATTGCAGTTATCTGTGCTGCCTATCATTCACAGTTAAGACCTTGTGCTACATCCAAATTACCACATCAAGCCATGTTCTCACCCTTCTCTTTTTAACTCCCACAGACCTTTTCCTGTCAGAAAACTGGAAGTCAGAAGGCTATTAGAAATACCAAGCAGCATAAGTACCAAGTTTTCAGATAGATGTTACTGATTTAGGCACCACTGACAGCTGCTTATCAAGACAAAACAAGGAAATCACTTGGCTGGTGTTTCCAGGCTACTTATCAGTTCAGACAAAGTAGCCAGAAGAGGGCCCCAGGACTCAGGAGATCTGCAGTTATGGAGCAGTTTGAGATGAGAGTGTCTGTAATCTTGACTCACCTTAGCCTGCTGTAACAAGACCGTCAAGCACCTAGGAAGGACTGCAAGGGAAGCCTGAAGTTCCCTAGGGGGAAAAAAGGCCTTGCAGTACATTTCACCTGTTTTGGTAAAGGGGAACTAGAGCTCTTTGGACTGGCTGTAGTTATTTTTTCAGTGATAGGAAGAATGAAAATTCACAAGGTAGAAGCAATTCACAAAGAGAAGGAAAGGCAAGAGAAAAATACACAAGAAATTAGATGTCAGACATTCACACCTGTTGGACTTTCACTGTAATGTCTTCTATGGCAAAATTCCTACAGTGAGATGAAAAATCCAGCCTCAAGGTTTAAAAGCAAGATCCCATAGGGACTAAACTCTAAACATAGAAAGCTATATGGTTTACATTTTGGTGGCATAAATTTCTGCGTGCAAGATGAGGCTTGATTGAATGGAAGGTATTACCTTGCACCCAGAAGAATTTTTTTCATATTTAACTAGTAATTATTAATAGGTATTTCATGTCAGCAAGTGTCTGATAAGCCCTTGTATTTTTCACAAAACAGTTGCTTCAATTGCAGTAATATAAATAATATCCTTATTGCTAAACAGCATTTGATACAGCTTTCTATTTAAAAAGTCTCTAATAATGGCAAGCATAGTAGTTAGAATAACATCCTCTTTTTTCTCTTCTATACCAATGGGGAAACCCCCCCCAGACAAACTATTAATCCATAATTGCTTCAATTTTTTTAACAGATGGGTTTTTCTCTTTTTCACATGCCTTTATTATCTTTTTAGGACTGTCAAAGAAAGAATAACCCACTTGCTGGTTTTGTTGCTGCAGCTCACTGCAATATTCTGTAATATTATATAATTAAGCCTTTATTAAATCAGAACTATGATCTCCCTGGGAGAATAGGACTGTTGTAACCTTTAAAGCAGCATTGTAATTAATATTCAGAGCCTAAACATGTTTTAGCTCTTCAAGCAGTATCAAGCTAAAGCTGGTTGATCTTTGTCATTTTGAATTCTTTCCAAATGTACTAAAAGGTGACTGAGTAAAACTGTAGTCAATGAATGTCTGATGTTAGCCAAATGAAGATTTTTTGTTTCCACAGTTTACTGCTGATTCTCATTAACTGCAAGGACAAATTTTCTTAATTTAAAAACTAATAACCATGGCAAAGTGTCAGCCCTACATGTTGCAAACTGAATTAATAAATCTGTATTTTCTTGATGAGGATATATTTTCTGTCATGCTCTGAATACCAGATCAAAATATTTGTTCAAAGCTATTTCAAGAAATTCAGGCAAGGCGTAAATGTTTGTCCACAACTCTAAGAGAGGGGTTTTTTTTCTGTGACCATTGTGAAAGTTTCCAAACAGTATCTTCATGTGTTACTCTAAATTCCTGAACAAACAGGAATGCAGCTTTTTTTCCTGAGAAGAGAACTCTGCCTTTTGCATCTAAGTTTTTGAAGTGTAGTAAGAATATTTCCTGTTTTACAATTTGGCATGATTTGAAGGGCATTCTGTCATCTGAAAATCCTTAGGTTGTAGTTTTGATAGAACCTGGAAGTTCTTCTCATCAGCCTAATGCAGCAAATGAAGGAATGGCAATAGTTGAATACGGAAAGCAAAGAGGTTGGGTTTTGGTTTATGTTTATTTCCACATAATGTCACAGAAAAGCATTAATAATAATGTTCAGTTCTTGACTTCACAAATCTGTCTTCCTTTAAGTAATGTTTTGGAAAAGTGACTACATGGCTCTCCCACTGTAAAATACCATATGCAGCAACAACAGATGAAAATGAGGAATGTGAGTGCATTATAGTCTTCTGAAGCAAAGGCCAGCTTGAAAAGAAGGGCAAAAGAAGCATGGCAATTTTTAAATGCAGAGAGAGGGACGTTGGAAGAGGGCAGCAGCTGAACATGGTTTGCATTGTAAGAAGCGGACACTGACATAGCAAATTCCCTCCAGCCTGAGAAAAGGACACTCCTGTGGGCTCCTGCACCTAGCCAGAGGCTACCTGTGTGGGTTGGCACACAGGGACCCTCTTGGTGTTTGTGGGGCCTCGTGGAGTGTTTTCAACCTGTGTGGGTCAGTGGGTGGTCAAGAGTGGCAGGAGCTCACTTGATGCTGAAGCAGCCATATGTCCCACATGGGAATGGGGGAAATTCCACTTCCTCCAGTGGGGCTACTGGTGATCCACACAGCCTTGGGGTGGCTCAGTGCACACCTAGCTTTGTGCATTTGTGTGTGTGATTAGAACTTTTGGGGATAAGTAACAGTTTTATTTATTTTTCTTTTATTCTATTAAGGGAAACATTCTCAATGAATGGTTTAGTTTTAACCTACCAGATAAGGTACAGTCAAGGTAAAAAAAGACTACAAATTGAAATTACTGGGAGTACTTGTCTCATAGCTGGAAGCCATCTCTACATTACCATGCTGTGCAGACCTGCAAAAGGGAGTCTAGAAAAAAATAGTTGGACCTCACATCCACACTGTACACATTTCAAGTACTGTCTTTTTACTATGGCCTAACTCTTGTCCAGTCCTGTTGGCTGAATGAATGACCACTGGCAGACAATGTGTGTAAGAAGCAGCACATCTTCCAGCTGAGGTTCACTTGGGAGGGTCCAGGCTGTACTTTACAGAACCTCTCTGCAATGTGTGAGGAGGTGGTGACAATACTAGGTTTTCTGTGTAAATACACTCTTGATCTGAATTAAACTGCTAGCGTGGACATGCTAAGAATCAAAATTATATTCTTTCAACCATGGATTTTCAATTTTCAAGGTGCAGGCTCAGGTGCAGCCACATATCAGCTGTGAACCTTGTCTGCTTAACAACTATGAAGCATTTCACTTGTACTAAATATGAAATTTTGCCATAACCTATCCTAATACTTAGGCTAAAGTATTTTCAACTGAAAGTTATTTGGTGATTTATGGGCATTGAACAAATAGTTTGAGGAGAACAGCATGAGTATGTCAAGAAGTCACATCAATCATAACTGATATCTTTGCATCACAAAGAGCTCCAGATCAGAGGAGATAGGCACTGTAAACTTTAGCCACCTAAAAACTGTGTCTAATCTAATATATTTTTGTACTAACCTGACAACTGTTGTGGAGGGACAAAAAAACCTCCAAAAGTAACTTCAGCTTTTTAGACATCTAACTTTGGACTGGTTGAATTCCCATCAAAGTAATTTTCTTTCTCTGTAGAAAATAGACAAATGTAGATGACCAGCTTAGACCTGACACCTAACTTTTAGGCAAGTTTTGGTGAAATCAAAGTAATTGATAAAGAATATAAAGTAATCTCTAGTACTCGTGGCTCCTGTTGCTCAGAATAAATAGACTGGCAAAAGGGTAGACTGTGTTCTGTGTGATATTGACGTGAAAATACTGAATGACTCCCCCAGCTTCACTCTAGGTTTCCCAAATTTAACCAGTAGAAAGTTAGGAGGAAATTTTTTTTTTCCCATTTGAGGACACATTTCACTGCTCTTTTTTAGCCCTAAATTAGCTGTGCAGGAAAAGGAAGGTTTTGTCTTTCAGGAATTACTAAACAGCCATTTGGTTGAATACTAAATTCACTTTAAAAATAACAGAAAAACTAATTAAATTGAATACATTTAGGAAAAAATACAGACAAAGAAAAAAAACCCCCAATACCCATTAATTTAAATATAGTAAGTTATGACCTGAGAACTATGGCTTCAGACTTAGAAAGAAATAAAATCACCAAGGTAACTTCAATCTTTTGGCAATTTGCATATATTTTATTCCTACATATTGATTTATCTTT